TGAGTTTCTCTCTTCCATCTCTTGAATTCTGTTGGTTATGCTTGTGTCTGTAGTTCCTGATTTTTTTGCCCAGTTTTTCTGTTTCCGGCATTCCTTTGGTTTGTGTTGCCTTTATTTTCTCTATTTCAGTTTTCAAGTCTTGAACTGTTTCCTTCACCTTCTTAATTGTTAGTTTTTTTTTTTCTTGGCTTTCTGTACTTTCTTTACTTTCCTTAAGGAATTTGTTCATTTCTTCCTCTTTTTCATTTGTTTTTTCTTCCATTTCTTTAAGGGATTTTCTCACATCTTCTTTGAGGGCCTCTATCATTTTTATGGTGGTATTTTTTAAGTCATTACCTTCTGCTTCCTCTGCTTTTTGTTGTGTTCTCTTCTAGTTGGTGTAGATTCCCTAGATTCTGGTGTTGTCATTCTTGTCTTTCTGCTGTTAGGTGTTTTCGTGTATTGCCATCTTCCCATAGCTTCTTCCACTGGTGTGGTCTCTCCTTTTCTCTATGGCACTTCCCCTGTGTGCTTATGTGGGTCAGAGGTTTGATATCTGTAGCTCTGGGTGGTCCAAGCTCTCTAGGAAGTCTCTCCGCAGACAGAAGCCAGGGGATGGGTCAGGGATCAGGCTCCAGTAGAAGATGCTGGCAGGAACTCAGAGTGGTCCTGCAGAGATAGGCAGATTTGTGGCTGGGGCCTGGGACTCCAGCAGAGGAGACCAAGCAGGTGGAATTTATGGGTGGACCTGCGTGGATAGGCAGGTCTCCTCTGGCCAATGGCTGTTGTAAGAGGGCAAAGGCTGGGCTGATACTCCGGATGTTTCTGCATTGATAGTCAGATCTCACTGGGACCTGGCACTCTCCACCTGAGACCTCTTTCTTTAGCAGAGGCCCTGCTTTGGGGGTCAAGGATCTTGCCAGCAGGAATTCAGAGTGTACCTGCAGAGATAGTCGGATCTCTGGAAGGGGCCCGGAATTCCAGTAGAGGACTAGAGGTGGTGGTCAGACACCAAGCAGGTGGAAATTACGGGTGGTCCCGTGTGGATAGGCAGGTCTCCTGTATTCAGAGTTGCTAACCCTAACCCTGAGTTGTAGTTGTGTGGACTGTTGGCTCTGCCCTCTGTCCCAGTTCTCAACCAGAGTGGCGGGACTGTGGGCAGGGCAGGGCACAGGGTATGGGCGGCAGGCTCGCAGTGGGGATGTATGGGGGTGTATCAGAACTCCAAGGGTGCTCTGGATGGGGAAAGGACACAGGAATAGTTCTTGGTGCTGTAGTCGAAGTACAACAGGAGAACTAACATGGGAAAACTAATGTAGCAAATTTCCTTAACAGTTTTCTAGAATAGGGCCTGATAAAAATCGACACTTCCTGTTTTACAATGAATATGCAGAAATTCTACTTAAATGAAATTTGGGGTGACAGAATTTCAAATATTCTCATTTATGGTATCAGGCCTGTGAACATAAACACAGAATTTCTCTTGGTATTTAATTATTCTTGATTGCCAGTAGTCATTCTCAACCTGAAACAACTTTTCCTACCACACCTGTGGATATTAGGTACTCTTTTTTGTTATAACAGGGGAATGAGGCTTTACAAGATTTCTAGTCATTAAATGTATCTACTGTATTTTAGTGTGCTTGTTAATAATCCAGCCAACTAATCCATCAAACAAAACTTATGCTCCCATGCTAGTGTGTTATATGAATGACATTTATTAACGTTTACTTCATAGGATCCCTCTATATAACATGTATGAGGTGCCTAAGGTATATATAAACAGTCATTATACCTAAGAAGTAAAAGATATATAAACTATGTTTAACATGATGGTCTAACTGGCATTCTTTAAATGTATTAATGCATGTTAACATTCTTGGAGGTAATTTTGTAAACAGAGGGTAGTGTTTTTTTCTGAATTAATTTTATTATAGAAATCAAAATTAATTTTCTGGGTTGGTATGATGTTTAGCAGGGGACGGCACTTTCTGGCAAGCTAGATGACCTGAATTACATTAGTAGAACCCAAATGGTGGAAGTAAAAGTTCAACTATCACCAATTATCTTCTGAAATCCACATACGCAACATTGCACATATATTTCTTCCTCCTAACACAAACACAGAAAATTTAAAAAGTAATGAATGCGTTTCTTAGTGTATATCCTGCTGTAATATATGATGCTAAGTGCTATGGAGAAAACACATATTAGGACAACATAAGTAGTCTTATATTACAAAGAAATGGTAAGAGTTAACCTCTGACAACAAAAGGAGAAATCAAATAAAATTTTGAAGGAAATGAGTGTTTGAGACAAGTCCTTAATGAGAAAAAGAAAACTTCTGGTTAAAAAGGTACAAGTTGACAACAAGTGTACAAACATGTACAACAGCCCTGAGATTCAAGTGTGTGTTATTCATTTTAGGCACAGCTAGTAGTTTTGGAGACTAGAGCACTACAAATGAGAGAGATGCTATAGGGTAAAGAATTTTGTTCAGTTAATGGGGGAAAGAAGTGTTTGGGCTGTAAAGATCCCAAATTAGAGGTATGGTTTTTATGATTACTGATGTCTACAAATATCAATTTTGTCTATGAAGTACCATTTCACATTGGAAAGACAAAAGAGGAAAAATGAAAGTATAAAATCTTACCTTACTAAAGCCTTGACATCATCACTTTTTGTAAGTATTTTCACCAAATGCTTTATGATATTTATGAGGTAGTAGTTTCTATTCCCCATACTATAGCAGTAGTATCCTCTTTTGGACAAGCCTTTATGATGAACATTACAAACAGAACTATGAATCTCCTAGATTCCATAGAACATGGTGGTTGCTTACTTATACCTTTATTCCTGGGAAATCAGCAAGGACAATACCAATGACATAATAGTCTTATGTAGGTATAATTAATAAAGCAAAGTGGAATAATATTTCCTCAAACAAAAAAGAAGCTGTTGCAACAATAGCAATAACGACTGTGCCTAAATACTCTTTTAAATTGTAAAGAAACTATTTTGTTAATCTAATTAAAATTAAATAATTTTTGGCCTAAAAGAAATTACAAGGGATAAAAACTGTGAGAATACATGGATTTGAGCTGGATGCTTTTCATAGTATCTTGACTGAAGACATACTCAGAGAAGTGATGGCCGTTTGATTATTGTGAAGGAGGCTTAATATAAACACAGTAGATGCAAAAATTTGGTGAATAATTAAATACTGGTTTTTATATTTCTAATTAATTCTTATTAAAATAAAGTAATTTAGCTACACATAACAGACCTGATGATGGTCATTTCTTGTTATATTTACAAAATACAAAATTACAAAATTTCTGAACTTAAAGTATTCTCCATACAATTTAATATTTAATATTTTTTTCGTAAATGATTGCCACTTACATATAGCATCAGTAGTGCTTTCCTGATGAGTATTCTAGAGTATAGTATTTTGAGTGTCATATTTCAAGAGAGCATATAGAAATATTTCTGTGCCCGACATAATTTTCACACATAGCCAGTGCCATGGAAAATTGACATGGTTACTACAAACAAGAATTTTCAAGTTCAAATAGTCTTAATATGTTCAATTGCCAACTTTCCTCTTGAGCTAACAGGGTTAATATTTGGAAGAAATATTTCTTGAAAAAGGAAACTGCAGAAGTTGCTGTTACATCAAAATACAACTTAAACACTATTAAAATTATATTTAACAGAGTTGCCATATCCAACCTTCTATTTTTCTGTTGTCTATACACAGATGTGGATCTAAAGGAGGAAATGTGTGACTTTCATCTAGTCTTGATTATTTTACGTTGATTACAAATTATATAGATGGGAGGAATGGGAAGTAGTGTGTAATGAATGCCAAGAAAAGAAGGCAATAGCAGTTCAATTCCACAGTTTACCAGTTTGGGAATTAGAAAAGCACGTACAAATTAGAACTCCCCAATTTATTAAATATGTGAACTTTGAAAATTTATTTGAATTTTGTTTGTTTCCTGACCCTGAGGTCATGATTATAGTAATATACATATATTGGTAGGTTATTATGAAAATTAGGCAAAAACATAAGTCCTTGTCATGCCGTAATAAATGTAGTAATCAATCAAGTATGATACTTGATCTATTAAGTTTTACCTTTCTTCATAACAAGTAATCACTGAAATTTTAGCAACTGTGAGGTTATTCTTAATATCTTCATCATTATAACTAGCTACAGACTATAAATATGGTTTAGTTTTAGAGTCATTCCTTATGAAGTATCCAGATACTCAAATATAGCCATATCATGTTCAAGGTCCAATAGATTCACAAAATAGAAAAAAAATCAGAAAAGAAAATGCAATAATTTTAAGTGTCAATTCTCAATCATGGCAAATTTTCACTCACTTCCTTTTTGACCCAGTTCCTCTCAATAACAATGTGGATGATCAGGCAAAGAAAACATTTGAGGCAATGTTCCATCCACTTAATTGAAACATGAAACTCCCAGCTGAACAGTAGAAATGTGATAGAGCACATCTTGTAAAGAAATGCAATCATAGTTTGTGATTCTAGGGAAGGCAGTTTGTCTGTAAATAATGCATTCCTGCTTCCTAATAAGTCCAGGCTTTCATTGAAAGTGAAAAACTTCTGAGAAACAAAACTCAAAGCAGTAGACTTCCATTTTTAAGGCAGGGAAAGCAGGTCCCTTTAACAGTATTTGTTACATAAGCACATTCGTTTTAGGAAGAATCTTGGGTGAATCATAAGATTCTTGCCAGAATGAAGCAGGCTCCCGGAGTCAAGTATAAAGGAGCGAGGTTTGTAGGGGATTGTTCAGTAGTAGAATATTTAGAAGTATCCAGGCCTATTTCCCCAGTCATTCTAATGACTTTGGGCCCTCTCTTAGCCTCTGCCAATATATTAAATCCCACTAATCTTCTCTCTGATGATTTTTCAGAATTGTGAACTCAGTGATGATCCTGGCCAAGGTAACCTTAGCCAGAGTACACTAAGCTGATATCTACGCAAGGATGTGGCCTAGGGAGGCAAAGTCACAAATCCACCCACATGACAGATTTTATAGAGTGAAAGTCTATGTCCGGAAGGAAGATGAGGAATGGGAACATCTAGGCTCTGGACAAATTTCCACCAAATACATCGGTCGCCTGCAAGATGTTTGCCTGCTTGTTCACTCAAAATCAAATGACTCACTGATAATGGAGTGCACAATACATCACAATGTACCATATAGGAGACTAAAAAGGAATTTAATTACTTGGACTGAACCTAACAACCTTACCATAGCAATACGTTTCCGTGACCCAGATGGTTGTCAAGATATCTGGGAAGATATCTGCCAAGTTCAAGGCAAAGATCCAAGTGTACAAATCACACAAGAACCTACAGATGATTTAGATGTTTTTCAAGAACTTCCCAATATCCAGAATTTGTATGAGATGCAAACTTGTGAAAACAGCACTCTTGAGCACATTGCAGATTTATTTAATTTTGTTGAGGAATCGCCATGCTACAAGGAAAGGCTGGCTCTTCTTTTGGAAAATGAAGATTACATTAAAAAATTGCTACAGATCTTCCACATTTGTGAAAACCAGAAGAACATGGAAGGATTATATTATTTATACATCATTGTTAGAGGAATGTTATTTCTCAACAATATGCCATTGTATAAGATCTTGTTTTCTGATGAGTGCATCATGGATGTATTAGGATGCCTTGAGTATGACCCTATTTTGGATCATCCATATCGGCACAGGGAATTCTTGACCAAAAATGCAAAATTCAAGGAAGTTATGCCAATAACATGCTCAAAACTCAGACAAAAAATAGACCAGACCTATAGAGTACAATATATTCATGACATTCTATTCCCGACATCATCCAAATTTCATGATAATCGTCTTTGTGAATTTACAACTTTCATTTCTTATAACAAAATTGAAATAGTTACCATGCTGCAGGAAGATGAAATGCTTTTGCATGAAGTATTTGCTCAGTTAAAAGATAACACTATAAGTCATGAAAGACAGCTTGAGTTGTTATTTTTTTTCAAAGAATTCTGTGAATTTGGTAAGATATTAAATTCTCAAAACAAAGATGAATTGTTGCAAACAGTGATAAATCTTGGACTCATGAGTGCTTTAAAAGTTTCAGTACTTAAACAAGACTACCAAACAAAAGAAGCTGGTATAGATATATTTACTCGTCTAGTAGAATACAATCCACAAATAGTCCGAATGTATGCAATGGAAGAAGCACAGGCAAGCGAAAATTATGATGATCTTCTCATCAATATCATGATCAAACAAATCATCTGTGATCCTGACCATGAATCTCCATATGTTTTAAGTTTGACTGCAGTTCTCCGTGCAATTCTTGATCCACAAAGCATGTGCACAACAGGGGACAGATGTGAAAAGGAGAAATTTATGAATTTCTTTTATTCACATTGCATGAATAACTTGGCTGAACCAATTTTGTCTATTCCAGGACAAAGTGATAGTGATGATAACAGGGCCAACATCTATCCTGATAATTACCAAAATGCACAATTGCTTGGAGTAGTGTTAGAATTACTCACCTTTTGTGTAAAACACCATACAACTTACATTAGAAATTATATTTTGAGCAACAACTTGCTCAGCAGAGTCCTGGTGCTGACGAGCTCAAAGCACACATTTCTGGTTTTGTGTGCTATCAGGTTTATGAGACAGATGGTTGGCCATAATGATGAAATTTATAATCTTTACATAATGAAGAAAAATCTTTTTGAACCTGTTATAAAAGCTTTTACACGTAATGGGGAAAGAAATAATATGCTAAACTCAGCTATTATTGAGCTGTTTGAATTTATAAGAGAGGAAAACATCAAGTCTCTTATTGCAAATGTTGTAGAAAATTTTTTTACTGCATTGGAATCAATTGAGTATGTCCAGACCTTTAAAGGGTTAAAAGTTAAATTTGAAGAGGAGAAGGAAAGGGAAAGTCAAATGAGAAAGAATTTACGTAATATAGTATACCAGATTGTATACTGCACACATAAGAAGTCTATGGAGGTACAAAGCAAGGAAGAAATGTGTTCTGGAGAAAGTACTGAAGCTATTCTACCAATGGGAAGTGATTTTCCAAATCATTATGACATGTTTGTAAGAATTAAAGATACAAGTGAAAATGTAGAACAGCCAGAAAGAAAAGCTTTTGACTGTTCTTCATCTCATTCTGATGCTTCTGCTAATAGAAAGTGTGAGCCAAACTATAGCCACAAGATTCCTTTAGTGGACTACCCAGATGATGACGATGATGACGTAGACAATGAAGACCATCATGACATTGATAAAGAGGAAGAACAACCTCTTCCCAAAAGATCTAAACTTGGTTCATAAAATCAGATGAGGTGCTCAACTTTCTTTCTTTTATGGACTTTTAGGTATGGTAGTGTAAGTAGCAAGTATGATGAATAAAAGGCCTCAATTTTGTATGAAGAATATCTCCCATAACATAGACGTACAGCATAAAATAGTCACAACGATGTGATAAATTCTTATTGGTAACACCTTAGTTTGGCAGCAGACTTTGGGAGGAGGAAACAATCTGATAACATTATACAATTTTCATTCTTGTCTTTATATAACAAATAACTTCAAAAGTTTTATTGCAAAGCCTGCTTTCAAAAAAGGCTCTGTTTAACAATTGCATTCTTTTAATAAATTGAAGTTTTTTGATAGAACATTTTTCTATGTGTTAAAGAAAAAGTCAATATTACAGTAAAAATAAAGTTAGAATTCAACTTTTTGTGACTTAGCAAAAGCTCAGTATTGTGAATAACAGGATGGAAAGAACATTCAGCACAGTTAAGTGAATATGTTCATGAATAAAATGTTAAGCTGGATCCTAAATGATCTCTTGTTAATGTACTTCTTTTTAGATGAGAAATATCAAGTATCAGTATCAATACAATACATTTCCTAATGTGCATTCTCTAGGTCCTCTGAGAATGAAACAGGATGTACCAAATCTCCAGATTGTTGTTTCGTCATTCAGTTATGAAGCTTTGTTCTTTTCCCCAGATTAGTAGGTACACAGTAGCTAAATAAGCATTTTTTTTTCTGGTTACTGAAACAAAGTAACTAGCAAAAACAACCAAAGGAACAAGTTTTAATTTTGCCTTACAGTGTGAGGGATTACATTCCATCCTAGTGGGAAAGGTACAAGAGTGGACTATTCATTGGTGGGAGGAATCTAAGCAGCATTTCACATTGCATCCACTATGTATAAGCAGCCAGATGAATTCTGATGCTTTTTACAATTTCTCTTTTTATTTACTCCAGGACATCAGTCCATGGTACAGTGTCACACACATTTAAACTATGTCTTTTCATACACAATTTTTTCAGTCTTTGAACTGCCACATAAACATGCCAAGAAATTTGTCTCCTAAACATAAATTATGTTATTAATTATCACTAATTAACATTGACACATTGCCTACTTAACCCTCAAGCACATGACTTTTAGTCTCATTGCCATTTGATACTACAAAAGGTATCCAGTCTAAACCAGCCTCCCCTGGATAGCAAGGAGGAAAAAGGACCCTGTCTTAGCCGTTGAAGACTGATTAGACAAAGGAGAACCAGGGAAGCCTGCTCTGGACTGAGGAGAAAACACAGGCTAGGCAGTTGGGTATTATTTTGGTGAGAAAAGACATGGTGTCTGACCCTCTCCCTTATCAGCTGAAGCACTCAGGAAAGCAGGCCCTGTGCCTTGCCAAGGGATGCAGTTGAGCCCTCCCCTAGAATGTGAGTGTGGAAGAACTGGTACCACTACTCATCTGACACATGCTGGTTTGTGTGAGGGAGAGATGCCCCCCCATCATTGCTGTGGTGGTTTTGAACCTGATACTGACAGGGTCATGAAAGCAGGAGTATTGGACCTTCTCCCCTTTACTTACAACACTCCTGAGAGTAGCCCCTGCATCAAGCTTGGGCAACATGGTAGAATTGACCCTGGTGGTATACCTGTGGGTGATCCAGCCTTGAGGACCTGAGAACAAAAGAACAGGCCCAATACCTTGCTCCTTGCTACATAGGGTGAACAAACAAGGCAATACTGGTAGGCAGACCAACCCTGAATTTACCCAGGCCTAGAACCCATGCTATGAGTTGTCCTACCCTGGCATCCAAGCCATCTATGATCTGCTAGAACACATGAAGGTGCTGGTCCTGCTTGTCCAAATTATAGGATCCCCATGACACAGGGCAAGAACAAGATATCCAAGAGATAATCCAAATGAGGGCCCAATAATAATATTGTAGCTGAAACTAGAAGCCTGGAAGAAGACCAAAGACGCTTTGCAATAAATATTTGCATTAAAAATATATAGACTGAAGTGCACATTGTGTGACTCTCTGTATCACACTACAGCTTCTTTTTTGTTTGATTTTTCATTTCTTGTTTTAATTTAAATAAGAAACAATCTTATTGTATGTATCAACCCAAGTTCCCTCTCCCTCCCATCCTCCTATGTCCCCCACAAACCCCGATCCTATCTATCTTCTCTTCCCCAGGGAGGGTGAGGCCTTCCATGGGGGATCTTCAAAGTCTATCACATCATTTGGACCAGGGTCTAGGCTGACAGAGTATCCTTCTATGTGGAATGGGCTCCCAAATTCCACTCATACACTAAGGATAAATACTGATCCACTAGCAGAGGCCCCATAGAATACCCAGGCCTCCTAAGTGGTACCCATGAAGATTTTTCTTTTTTACTCTCTCTTTCTTAATTTCTCATGAATTATATTTTATTTGAAGGTGGGTTGCAAGGGTAGAGGGTGGATGCATGATGTGAAAACCACAAAGAATAAATAAAAGTTTAAAAATGTATTCAGTCTAACTATAAAACACTTCAGACTTTCATGGTTTCAACTTGTTCAGAATTGTAAGGAAAGACTATTTTCTAATACTCAGATATTCTCTTAATTGTGAGCCCTCATATAATAAGATTCAAAAAATAGTGATAGCTTATTATGGTTATAAACACATGACTGTGAATCAATTTATGGAGGCTAGAGTGATGACTAAGGATTTAAAGCACTGTTTGTTCTTCCATAAGATTGGATTTGATTCCCAGAATGCACATAACAGCTAAGACATTTTGTACTATTCTAGCCTCCATTGGCACTTTATGAATGGAGTACACAGACATACATACAGACAAAATATTCATACATAAAAATGTATTTAAAAAAATCAGCTCATGGAAGAAATAGTTCCTTTTGTCTTATGGTTGCAGGAGGAAAAGCCCATAAATGGTGGGGGAATCATGTCAGCAAAAGGTGGTGATGACATATTTATCTACATTCAGAACCAGGAGAGAGAGGGGGGGAGAGGGAGAGAGAGAATGAGAAGTAAAAGTTAGGATAATCTATAAATTCTCAAAGCCAACCATCAGTGATGTACTTTGTTTAGCAAGGCATTATCTCCTAAACATTCCATAACATTCCCAAACAGTGCCATCAACCATGGGCCAAGTGTTCAAGTATAGTCTGCCAACAGGGCTGTCGATTTAACGTGATACTGTTGTGTGACAAAATTTTTCCCTGCAGAAATGCAACGTACATGTCTAGTCACTTCAGATAGTAAACCCATGGCAGACCAAAGTACAGCAGATAATACCAAATTCCAACTTGGTGGACCAATGAGGTATTTCTTTTCCTTTTTTCTTTTTACAGGTATATTTAAGAATATGGGTGAAGTCTTACAGGTACAGAAATGACTCAAGGATAACTGTATCCACAAAGTCCACCCCAACAGCTGTGATGACAACTTATAAAATATGGAAACCTACATCCTGCACAGTGTGAAGGCAGCACAACTGGTTGGAAAGTATCTTTTCCATTCGACTCGGTTGATGCAAATTTCTTCCAGGCAATTCAGCTTGTTTTTGCTTCTTCCAGGCTGTAGCCCATTAGTCAGAGTCATCTTTGCTGTTTTTCCTGTCGCAGAGTGACTGTCAGCAGCCTTTTTTTGTTCAATCTTAGGAAAGAGAGGCTTAGTGATTCTCAGCAGTTTCAAGGAATTCCTGAAGCTGTCTAGAGTTGTTTCCCTTCTGTCTTAAAACCCTGTCCTGCTTGAAGGGATGTTTCAGTCTCATAGGAAACTGCTACACAAAACTCTACCTCTTCCTCTGGCTCTTACATTGTGCTGCTCCCTCTTCTACAATGATCTCTGAGCCTTGGAAGAGTTGGCAGTAGATATTCACCTGTGGCTAACAATTAGGCAAGCATGACTCAGCAATAGCCATTTGATGTTTTAAGGTTATTGGGCTATGATGAAACATTAAGGGCAAAAGCAACTTTTTGATGATAGATTAGTTTTTATTTAATAAAGCTTGCCTTTGGGTTCAGAGTGCAAAGCTAGTCATAGATATAGGCAGTGGTGATAAACACATTTAATCTGAGGAGCCATACTAGTTAGCTATAGAGACCACGAAGTTTGTGGCAAACACATTTAATCCCAGGACTCAGCAGGCAGGCATATTGATATCTGTGATTTCAAGGCCACCCAGGTCTACACAAGAATAAATCAGTCTAAAAGAATAACAGAGCTCAAACCTTTAATCCTACCACATGGGAGGCAGAGACAGGTAGAACTCAATGAGACTCATGCAATCCATGTCTACAAAGTGAGTTTCAGGTCAGCCATGACTTATTAACATAGAGAAACCTTGCCTCAAATAACAAAACAAAACAAAGAAGATGGGACCCCACATAAGACCATTCCACCAAGACTGTGATAATACTATTAAGCTCAACAGTACAAACTTGGAAATATACATTTCTCAGAACAATTTCAAGGTGACTTGCTGGGATGATACAGCCACTCTGACCCTGCTAAGAACAATACTGATGTGGCCAGTATAGATGATGCATTCTCACAAACACTGTTTGAGAACAATTGTGAGAAGACTTGCTGAGATGACATAGCTTCACAAACTTTTCTATCTAGGACTTAAGACAAGTCCTTCACTTTTTCCTTATGCAGAGACTGGATAACAAATGATACAACTTGACAATTAAATCAAATTTTATTTTCAGGATCCCCTAAAGATGCAGTCTACCCCAGACAGTAGGAATTAACTTTAAGAACATGACATCCACATTTCTAAGAGGTGGAGTGGATCAGTTTTGGTCATTTGATAATTTATGGATACTTATAATTGTTTAAGGGGATTGTTTACAAGTTGCTATTGGTAATGGTCAGGAAAATGCTAAACAAAGAAGATTAGTTTCAAAATTCTTGTTTTGAAATTATAAAAGGGAACACAGATATGATAGGATAAATGATACATTATTAAATCTCTGTCCAGACCTACGGGAACAAGTTA